GGGCCCGGGAGAAGCCTGGTGGGGACGCGGGGGCAGGGACGGGACCGGGACGGGACCGCGACGGGACCGGGCGGATCCCGCCGGGGACGGTACCGTGACAGGACCGGGAGGAGGCCGGGGAGACGGCACCGCGACAGGACCGGGAGGAGGCCGGAGGGGACCGGACCGCGACGGGGCCGGGAGGGGGCCGGAGGGGACCGGACCGCGACGGGACAGGACCAGAAGAAGCTCGGCGGGGACGGGGAGGGACGCGTTCGGTAGACGCATGGCTCACCGCAGCTCCTGGCGCAGGCGAGAGACCTTCGCTGTCCAGAGGATTCTCTCTCTGCCTCCTCCCCAGCCAGAGACTCTCGGCACAGCCCTGCTCTTGAGTCTTCTCCGACCCCCTCACAGCCTCTTTAAACCCTCGGCCCAGCTCATCATCACATCACGGCTCCCACCTGGGCTGCCCCAGCCCCAGCTAGAGCTCGTTGGCAAGGGGGGGCATGGCCACAGCCCCACAACACGTCCCCACCTGCCCTTAAATACGGGAGAGAGGGACCTGGAGGTGTAGAGCACAGAGCCAGAAAATGGGGTGTTGGGGACAAGAGGGGTGAAGGACAGCCCACAGAGAGAGGAGAGACCCCTACAGACCTCTGCAGACCCCTATGAACCCTGACAGATCCCTAGAGAGTCCGTCCTGCAGCGCCCTGCAGACCCCTATGAACGCTTGCAGCTCCCTGTAGACCCCTGCAGAACCCTACAGAGATTATCGAACTCCTACGAACCATTATAGACCCCTGCAGATGCCTGGAGACACCTACAGAACCCTACGAACCCCTGTAGAACCCTGCAGAATACGCAGCCCCCTGCACACCACTTATGAACCCCTATGAACACCTACAAACCTCTACAGATGCGTATGAACACCTGCAGACCCCATGAGAACTCTGCAGAGCCCTGCAGAGCCCTACGAACCCCTGCAGACCCCTTTGAATCCCTTGAGGCTCCTAAAGACCCCTAGAGACCCCTGCAGACCCCTGTAGAGCCCTACAGAACCCTATGAAGTCCTGAAGACCCCCGCAGACCCCTACAGATCCCTATGAACACCTACGTACCACCAAAAAAACCCTGTAGACCCCTGCAAAGCCCTACAGACCCTACAAACCCATATGAACACCTGCAGGCCCCTACAGATTAATACAGAACCCTGCCGACACCTACAGACGTCATTGAACCCCTACAAACCACTATAGACACCTGCAGATGCCTACGATCCACTGCAGAGGCCTACAAAACCTCTACGAATCCCCTACAGACCCCTGCAGACCCCTATGAACACCTACAGAACCCTGGGGACCTCTGCAGAGCCCTACAAAGCCCTGCAGACCCCTATGAATCCCTTGAGACTCCTAAAGACCCCTGCAGGCCCCTATGAATCCCTTGAGACTACTAAAGACCCCTGCAGACCCCTATGAATCCCTTGAAACTCCTAAAGACCCCTGCAGAACCCTGCACAACCCTAGGGAACCCTACGGATCCCTACGAACCCCTGCACACCCCGACAGATCCCTACAAACCCCTGTAGACACTTACATATCCTTGCAGATTCATACGAACACCTTTGTACCCCTACGAAGCCCTGCACACTCCTGGAGACCCCTGCAGAGCCCTGCTGACCCCTGCCGAGCCCTGCACACTCCTGCAGACCCCTGCAGACCCCTACGAACCCCTACAGACTCCTGCAGGCCCATACAGACACCTATAGAACCCTGCAGACCCTTACAGACCCCTACAAACCCCTGCAGACCCCTTCAGATTCCTACAGATCCCTAAAGACCTCTACGAACTCCTGCGTACACCTAGGAGCCCCTGCAGAACCCTACAAACCCAAACAAACCCCTGCAGAACCCACCAGACCCTTACAGATCCCTGCAGACCCCTGCAGAGCCATACAAACCCCTGCAGACCCCTACAGAGCCCTGTAGACCGCAACAGACCCCCACAAAGCCCTGCAGAACCCTGCAGAGCCCTGCTGACCCCTGCAGAGCCCTCCAGAGCCCTGCAGAAGCCTAGAGACCCCTACAGATTCCTACAGAGCCCTACAGACCAGTACGAACCCCTGCTGTCTCCTACAGACCCCTACAGAACCCTGCAGAGCCCTGCAGAAGCCTAGAGACCTTTACAAATTCCTACAGAGCCCTAGAGACCCATACGAACCCCTGCTGTCTCCTGCAGACGTCTGCAGACCCCTACAGACCCCTAGAGATGTCATTGAACCCCTATGAACCACTATAGACTTCTGCAGACACCTTCAGATGCCTGTAAAACCCATACGAACCACTACAGACCCCTAAAGACCTCTGCAGAGCCCAACAAACCCCTGCAGAACCCACCAGACCCCTGCAGAGCCCTGTACTTTGAAGCTGCGTGTGCGCATTGTGACGTGTGGCCACGCGCATGCGCGGCCGCCATTTTGAAGCCGCGCATGCGCATTGGCAGGTATGGTATCGCGCATGCGCGGCCGCCATTTTAAAGCCGCGCGTGCGCATTGGGATGTGTGGGTAAGCGCATGCGCGGCCGCCATTTTGAAGCCGCGCGTGCGCATTGGCAAGTTCCGTAACGCGCATGCGCAGCCGCCATTTTAAAGCCGCGCGTGCGCATTGGCAAGTACGGAAACGCGCATGCGTGGCCGCCATTTTGAAGCCGCGCATGCGCATTAGCAAGTGTGGGCACGCGCATGCGTGGCCGCCATTTTAGAGCCGCGCGTGCGCATTGGCAAGTACGGAAACGCGCATGCGTGGCCGCCATTTTGAAGCCGCGCATGCGCATTAGCAAGTGTGGGCACGCGCATGCGTGGCCGCCATTTTAGAGCCGCGCGTGCGCATTGGCAAGTACGGAAACGCGCATGCGTGGCTGCCATTTTGAAGCCGCGCGTGCGCATTGGCAAGTGTGGGCACGCGCTTCCGCGGCAGCCATTTTGAAGCCGCGCGTGCGCATTGGGATGTGTGTAAACGCATGCGTGGCCGCCATTTTGAAGCCGCGCGTGCACATCGGGACGTGCGGGCACGCGCATGCGTGGCCGCCATTTTGAAGCCGCGCGTGCGCATTGGCAAGTGTGGGCACGCGCTTCCGCGGCAGCCATTTTGAAGCCGCGCGTGCGCATTGGGATGTGTGTAAACGCATGCGTGGCCGCCATTTTGAAGCCGCGCGTGCGCATTGCCAAGTGTGGGCACGCGCGTGCGCATTGCCAAGTGTTGGCACGCGCATGCGTGGCCGCCATTTTGAAGCCGCGCGTGCACATCGGGACGTGCGGGCACGCGCATGCGTGGCCGCCATTTTGAAGCCGCGCGTGCACATCGGGACGTGCGGGCACGCGCATGCGTGGCCGCCATTTTGAAGCCGCGCGTGCACATCGGGACGTGCGGGCACGCGCATGCGTGGCCGCCATTTTGAAGCCGCGCGTGCACATCGGGACGTGCGGGCACGCGCATGCGTGGCCGCCATTTTGAAGCCGCGCGTGCACATCGGGACGTGCGGGCACGCGCATGCGTGGCCGCCATTTTGAAGCCGCGCGTGCACATCGGGACGTGCGGGCACGCGCATGCGTGGCCGCCATTTTGAAGCCGCGCGTGCACATCGGGACGTGCGGGCACGCGCATGCGTGGCCGCCATTTTGAAGCCGCGCGTGCACATCGGGACGTGCGGGCACGCGCATGCGTGGCCGCCATTTTGAAGCCGCGCGTGCACATCGGGACGTGCGGGCACGCGCATGCGTGGCCGCCATTTTGAAGCCGCGCGTGCACATCGGGACGTGCGGGCACGCGCATGCGTGGCCGCCATTTTGAAGCCGCGCGTGCACATCGGGACGTGCGGGCACGCGCATGCGTGGCCGCCATTTTGAAGCCGCGCGTGCACATCGGGACGTGCGGGCACGCGCATGCGTGGCCGCCATTTTGAAGCCGCGCGTGCACATCGGGACGTGCGGGCACGCGCATGCGTGGCCGCCATTTTGAAGCCGCGCGTGCACATCGGGACGTGCGGGCACGCGCATGCGTGGCCGCCATTTTGAAGCCGCGCGTGCACATCGGGACGTGCGGGCACGCGCATGCGTGGCCGCCATTTTGAAGCCGCGCGTGCACATCGGGACGTGCGGGCACGCGCATGCGTGGCCGCCATTTTGAAGCCGCGCGTGCACATCGGGACGTGCGGGCACGCGCATGCGTGGCCGCCATTTTGAAGCCGCGCGTGCACATCGGGACGTGCGGGCACGCGCATGCGTGGCCGCCATTTTGAAGCCGCGCGTGCACATCGGGACGTGCGGGCACGCGCATGCGTGGCCGCCATTTTGAAGCCGCGCGTGCACATCGGGACGTGCGGGCACGCGCATGCGTGGCCGCCATTTTGAAGCCGCGCGTGCACATCGGGACGTGCGGGCACGCGCATGCGTGGCCGCCATTTTGAAGCCGCGCGTGCACATCGGGACGTGCGGGCACGCGCATGCGTGGCCGCCATTTTGAAGCCGCGCGTGCACATCGGGACGTGCGGGCACGCGCATCTCTTCCCTGTCCCCATCCCCACCCTGTGTGTATCCCCTGTGCTCCCCCATGTCCCCTGTGCCCCCAAGCCCTGGTGTCCCCCCTGTGTCCTCCAGTGTGCCTCCCCGTGTCCCTCCTACCCTGTGTATGGCTCACACCCCCGCCTTGTGTCCCCTGTGCCCCCCCTTACCATGATTGGGGTGATGAGTGATGTCACTAAGAGTGATATTTTAGAATAATATATACTTTCAGCGGGGGAGTGAAAGCAAATCCATGCATTCCATACTGGTATACCTTTCACACTTTCCAGTAAGTCACTTCAACTTCCTTAAAAGGCCGCATGTACAACCCTAGCAACATGTATCATTTGGATTACAACTACCAGAACTCAAGTTAGGCATCTACGTATACTTGCAACCAGATTTTTGTGACAAAACACTGACCGTGAGCATTTACTTAATCCTAAAGTATACCTGTTCTCTGAGCTGCTTCTTGGTCATTCCAAATGCTTCTTAGTTTACTCATTATGGCTGACTATCCAACTTCAATGATGTCAAAGCCCTTGAACCTAATCACTGAAGTGTCTACATGGAAAATAACCTTAACGTAGAAGCCAAATTTTTATAGCAATTGAAACAACTTTGTATCACTTTCGATTTGATACAAGTCATAAGAACACAGACTGTGCCTTAATTTTTTGCAAAAGTAGTCCAATGAGACTGAAAAAGATGAAAACCATGCACGGTCAGGACAGGAACATCAAAATTGGGGAGCAAAGACGGTCAGTAGTTTTTCCACCTAAAGCGTCACCTTGCCATAAAAGCATTTGGAAATAGACATCTATTACCACAGAAGTCACCTTGGCTTTTTGAATCAATCTCTTGTTCTGTCTTTGGATTATTTTTCTTGCTGGTCATCTGAGCACATGATACTTGAATCTCCATCAGCAAACTTCTTCTGTCTGTGCTTTGAAGACAGTACATTGCTGCTCTCTGGTTTGTGGCCTATCAGCATTAGAAAGATATTTAAAAGTAAACCTCCAGGTTCTGTTAGCATATTAATGGTGTAGATATTACAATTACTTATCTATTCATAGGGCATATATATATTCAAAACATTTTCAATTAAGTCATAATTAAGTCAATGTTACAATATTGAGAAGAACGGCTTGTTATTTTTTTATTTCTCTACTAAGCATCAAAATTATAGAACCGAAAGAGCTATCCGTTCGCTGGCAAACTGTCATTTTCCTCACTAATCCTTCCACGTTGCCAAAGAGACGACTGACCTCCCTCTGTCCCATAGCAGCCCGATCACTTCCTCTTCTTACTTCATATCTACAAGCTACCTTTTCTCTTAGACGGTGTAACGTCCTTCTAATTAACTTAATGAAATCAAGCTCAGGACAACTGTGTTTAATTCAACTTGATCTCTGAAGGCTCTGTTTTCTTCTAGAGCTTGTGCACCCAACAATTCCGCACCACATCAGGTTTTCTTTTTAAGACACCTCTTCTTTCAAGTCTTTGCTTTCATCCCTTATGCTGCCAAAACTACTAGGAATACATCTATTTTTAAATGGATTTATACATTAGAAATTAAACTGTAATACAGACAATTTCACTTTAACTAAAGTATGTTTTATGTTACCTTGTCTTGTCATCTCTGCTCTAACTGGTTCATCAACATCACTGTCTCTCTTCCGCCCAGTTCTGCCAGTTCAGTTTGAAATGCAGCAAGAACATTTTGTTGCCTCACAAAAAGCTGGTGGATAGCTTGCAGAAGTTCTCCTTGCCGCTCTGAGACACCTTCCAGAGATTCAGTACTCGCATAAATCTACAGTGGTAGAAAACCAATTTAAACAGCAGGATTCAAGTATTACATCACGAACGGCCGTTACCATTTTTTGTAAAGTGGACATTTTCACTGGATATTCAGCTTTTCTTAATAGCTACATAACATTTATTCATAGAAATTGATATATTTCACGGAATTGTCAGAGTTGGAAGGGACCTCTAGAGACCATCTGCTCCAACTCCCCTGCTAAAGCAGGAACGCCTAGAGCACATTACTGAGGACTGCATCCAGGCGGGTCTTGAAGATCTCCAGAGAAGGGGACTCCACGACCCCCCTGGGCAGCCTGTTCCAGTGCTCCATTCACCCTCACCGTAAAAAAGTTTTTTCTCATATTTGAATGGAACTTTCTATGTTCCAGCTTGAGCCCGTTGCCCCTTGTCCTATTGCTGGAAACCACTGAAAAGAGTCCGGCTCCAACATCCTTCAACTCACCCTTTAGATACTTGTAAACATAAATAAGGTCTCCCCTCAGTCTTCGCTCGTTCAGGCTAAAGAGTCCTAGCTCCTTGAGCCTTTCCTTTACTATTTATTGTACAGATTAGGATTTCTCCTGCACGCACAAATGCTAAACTTTTATATGTGTTTTAGATGGAAGCAATTTAGCTTCTTAGAACTAAAAACGTACCCCTGTGGAGTTATTATTTATGTCACACTACCCTTTTAATTGTTACGATGTTACACGTATGTTCCTGGACTCTCATTGAGCTATATGGTAGGGGGCAGATATTGTGCAGGAAGAAGCTTTAATTTTATAATGCGATCAAGTCAATCCCCACATTTTGCGTGCTGAAGTAAGTACAGCAGTAGTAGAAGCTACCTACATATATCCAAAATACTCGCTGAGGTAATTAGACAGAGCAAGGCCTAATAAGTTTTAACAGATTAATGATGAATGGTGTGTTCTATTTTATACAATTTTTCCCCTCTTTTCTCTCACTACAGTATCTTTTTAATAGCATCCAAGTTCTATTACACCAAGAAAAAACAGCATTTAAAAAAATCTACTTTAACAGCTACTGGAAACATGCTTTCAAAATAAAAAGACTTTTAAAAAGTCAATCTGTGCAGTCAAAAGCTATCCATGCACAGAACAACAAATGCAACCTATCATTTAAGACATATTTATTACCAGAAAGCGTGATGGGCAGTTTTACTGCATATTCCTGAAATATTTTGCTTTGCAGCAGTATATTTAGAGCGTTTAAACCCAAATTGTGAATGCGCCTCATAAGATTATCATACACTATTTTTTTATTTAGCTAGCATGTCATCTTATTTATACCTCAGCTTCTCTGTGACGTTGCAGTTTTGCAATCAGGTCTTTCAAAGATTAAACAGTGCTTCAGAAAGCACCTTTCCTTTTCTCAAGCCAAGACCCTGTCTCTTGCTTAAGAGGTGGCATCTCTCTCTCACCACGTGGAAATTCAGTGAGACAGCACCCGCGTGCCTTCGTGGTAGACTGCTCTCAGCCAACCCTACAAGAGAGACAAAGAAATCAGTAGCGCCAGTCCTAACAACAACAATAATTATCATCTTACTTCATGTATATTGGAATACTGATACTTGGGAATTGATCGGCATGAGAAGCTATTGCTGCGTTCTCCTATCAAAGACAGAAGCGTTACCCAGTTCTGTATCTGCCAAAAAGCAGAAGTTATTAAAGAGATGGATTTTTCTTCAGTTTCAAATGAAAATTCCCAAAGTTCATCTGTCAAATCAAATTTTAAACTGGTCGCTGATGAAAACCCACATTTAAAAACAAAGTCCTGGGAAGCTTCCAGGTGAGCTTTGCAATTCTCTTTTTTGAGTTACTATTAAGCTAGGGCTTTGCTGCAAAATACTTGCTTTTTTTTTTTTAATTGTAATTAAAAGCATGATACCCTGACTTTATAATAAACACATTTGTTTACTGTCCTAGTATAAATTATAAACCCATAATAATAGAATCTTCAAAATTGTGTAATATGTGATCATTTCATTATCACCAATACAAAATAACTATACAAAATTATAATTAACAATAGCGCTATTTCTCATAATCCTGAGAACAAGCCTACAGTGACAAAACTCGTATTTAACCTAATTTAACACGCAAAAATGCACATCATTTCTCAGAAGTATCTGAAAACATATTAAAATACCCAACACTAAAGCTTCTCTAAATGCCTCTCTTCTCACTAATCAAGCAGCAGCTAATCTAAGCTATTAGTTAGCATCACTCTTGTTCCGTAATAAGAACAACCATCTGTTGAAGTTTCACCTTAATCTCTTCCTTCAGATATCGTGTCAGATCCCTGGGTCTGAGCAAGATGCGTTCTTTGACTCCAGTCTGAACCGGAGTCCAAAATAAAAGGAGAGAAAACTGAAAGCTGGATTGCTGCGGAACTTGGAAAAATGGGCATCAAAAAAATATTTTGGCTGTTGTTGTAACAGGTGGTTGCATGTCACCAGAGCTCCCTCTAAGCCTAGAGACTACCTGTTTTATCATTTTTCTTTTTCAGTTTCAAAGTAGACACAGCAAAACACCATCCAAAGCCTCAAACTTCAAAATCCTAGTTTAGTTCTAAAAGAGAAACAACTCTCTACACAAACACTTCCGCCAAATGACCCTTGCTTAATATGCTTAGCCTTTGCCTAGGAAAACCATCATATTAATAATTTGTATTGCTTTTGCAGAAGTCAGTCCTTCTCATCGTCTCACACTGTTAGGGAGATATAGCTTTAAATTCTATCAATAGCTGAAGCAGCTGAGGTGAAGAGACAATATAAAAAGAACATAGGACCTCCAGCAGGAAATAAAAAATCAGCATCTGATGCCTCGACTCATCCCATCTCTGCTCTAGTAATTTTCCTTCCGTAGCAAATGAACAGACATGGCATACTCAGCACCTTTTCTTAGTGCAACGGGCTTCTGCTGTGATCAGGGGAGTAGTTGTTTTTATTTCTTAGAACACAAACTCTTTACCACTCAACTCTGTGTTAAAAAAAGCAGATTTAATTTATAATGCTGTTTGAAATCTATGAAAACAAGTTTTTTACCACTAGAACCTCCATTGTCTCTACCTTGCTACTGCGGAGAACGTGCTAATCCAGAAACTGGAATTCCCTCTATTTAGGAAAGAGAACAATCACATCTTTTTCCCCCCCCACACCCATTCACAATAAAGGAGCTAATTCTAGGGAGCAGGAGACAACAGGAGCAAAGTCATCAACATGGAGGTGACACAGGTGGTGCTCAAGAGGGTGATTCACACCTGCCCCTGGTTCACAGGGCAGGACAGGTGTCAGGCGGTAGCACAAGGAAGCATCTCATACTTGAGTGCACCACGCCCCAAACTTTAGTTGCTGAGGAAGGGGTTCACAATCTCTCCCTAGGCCGTGGAAACATCAGAAAACTTCAAAGCTTTATACTGAACGTATGGTGGTTCACACTTAACAGACTTGAAAAGGGAATTTCTGTGGGAGCAGCAAAAGCACAAAACAAAGTGGTTCAATGAAGATGAAATAGGATACATACCTCTTTAGCTTGTAGAGTTTCTACAACTTCTTTAAAGCGTTACATTCTTCAGTCCACACTTGCACTGCCAACTTCTCTCTCTTTAATGCTTCACATTCAGAGATATGCCTTGTCTCCATGTCCACGGTTTCAGCAGCATGCAGTTCTTGCATTTGGTTAATTTTCTCAGCCTAAGAGCATAACAAACCTTCTGCTCGCTTGCAGGGAAGCGCCTCCTCCCTTCCCGTTCCCTGCTGCAGGAAAGCTCTGCGTGCATTTAGGTACGGCCAAGAAAAGTACTCACAATATAAAAGTGTTGGCACTAATTGGCACTAATTCAACCGGCACAGCTCCGAACCCATACCATTGCGCTCTCCATCCCCAGAACGCACAGTTGTCATTTGACTGGGGGCTTCTTCCTCTCCTACCCAAGCGGGATGGACATCTGGGCAGCGGCACTGCCACTACCGCGCTGCTGGGAAAATGCGCCACTGAAAGCCAGGCAGACGTCAAGCTCTTCAGGGCACTCCACCTAAAGAGCAGGGGAAAACAAACAAACAAAAAAACCCAAACAAACAAAAAAAACAAAACCAAAAAACACCTGTTACCTTCAGTCACCTCTCTTTTCAAAGATTTACAACAAATACCTCACTGCTCGGGGACGCCTAAGAGGCTGTAGGCTACGGCCAGTGGACAGTTGCTGTTTAAACCCTGCAATTCAGTTTGTACGTGCTACAACTTTATGTCTTTTTTTAAAGTCTCCTTTACGATAGAAAAAAACCAGGAAGGTAAAAGATCCCCCAAACGTCTGTACTATCAGCGGGGGGAAATCCAATCCCCAGTGCTAAAATCCATCACGCTACCAAAAAGGACTGGCCAATGCTTTTGGCTGTGCCAAACACGCAGAGGAATGGAGCTTGGCCATGTCCCCACTGTTACAACCCAGAGCCCAAAGGCTGGCCACGCCATCGGCTGTTGGAAGAGGTGCCACACTTGGGCCTTTGGAAAGACATTTCCTTTCTTTTTTTCCCTATTCAATAGAGCATGCAACGTCTCATCACTGATGACTTCTGCTACCCAGCGCATCTCCAAGGATCTGATCTCACGGGAACTTCAGAAAAGGCAACCACTTGGAATGAGAAACATGTTCCCTTTTGGAAAACCTCCTTCCGACTGATGTCCAAATGACACACTGTAGGCTACGGACAAAGGACATTCCTGGAAGGCTTGACTCACCTAAGCCATGTCAGGACTCGCCGTCACCAGTGACGAGGCTGCTGATGCTCCTCGTTTTGTGGCAAAGCCTGGAAAACAGGCAGAAGCAGCGCCGGTTCATCCCATTTGGTCCATGTCTCTTCTTTGACCTTGCCTGCTTTTAGCGCAGATGCCATGAAAGAGGAGTGAAAAAGAAAAGGTGAGGTCAGGCAGCAAAAGAGCTCTGCAGGCTGCCATCTGCAGTCAACCAGGCACCCTGTTTTGGAAACCACACACCCACCCACACCCACAAAACAAACAAACAGACAAACAAAGAGACAAAAAACACAGCACCTGGCCTCTTTCTTGTCTTCAGGAGCTCATCCCTGTCTCGGCACGCTATCTCGTCAGAGCAGGAAGCACAGATGATCTGTATCCTGAGGACACCTGCATGGGATTAACGCATGTCCAGAAGCAGTCCCCATCTCTAAGAGCGTGTCACTCCCCCCCCACACCCATTCACAATAAAGGAGCTAATTCTAGGGAGCAGGAGACAACAGGAGCAAAGTCATCAACATGGAGGTGACACAGGTGGTGCTCAAGAGGGTGATTCACACCTGCCCCTGGTTCACAGGGCAGGACAGGTGTCAGGCGGTAGCACAAGGAAGCATCTCATACTTGAGTGCACCACGCCCCAAACTTTAGTTGCTGAGGAAGGGGTTCACAATCTCTCCCTAGGCCGTGGAAACATCAGAAAACTTCAAAGCTTTATACTGAACGTATGGTGGTTCACACTTAACAGACTTGAAAAGGGAATTTCTGTGGGAGCAGCAAAAGCACAAAACAAAGTGGTTCAATGAAGATGAAATAGGATACATACCTCTTTAGCTTGTAGAGTTTCTACAACTTCTTTAAAGCGTTACATTCTTCAGTCCACACTTGCACTGCCAACTTCTCTCTCTTTAATGCTTCACATTCAGAGATATGCCTTGTCTCCATGTCCATGATTTCAGCAGCATGCAGTTCTTGCATTTGGTTAATTTTCTCAGCCTAAGAGCATAACAAACCTTCTGCTCGCTTGCAGGGAAGCGCCTCCTCCCTTCCCGTTCCCTGCTGCAGGAAAGCTCTGCGTGCATTTAGGTACGGCCAAGAAAAGTACTCACAATATAAAAGTGTTGGCACTAATTGGCACTAATTCAACCGGCACAGCTCCGAACCCATACCATTGCGCTCTCCATCCCCAGAACGCACAGTTGTCATTTGACTGGGGGCTTCTTCCTCTCCTACCCAAGCGGGATGGACATCTGGGCAGCGGCACTGCCACTACCGCGCTGCTGGGAAAATGCGCCACTGAAAGCCAGGCAGACGTCAAGCTCTTCAGGGCACTCCACCTAAAGAGCAGGGGAAAACAAACAAACAAAAAAACCCAAACAAACAAAAAAAACAAAACCAAAAAACACCTGTTACCTTCAGTCACCTCTCTTTTCAAAGATTTACAACAAATACCTCACTGCTCGGGGACGCCTAAGAGGCTGTAGGCTACGGCCAGTGGACAGTTGCTGTTTAAACCCTGCAATTCAGTTTGTACGTGCTACAACTTTATGTCTTTTTTTAAAGTCTCCTTTACGATAGAAAAAAACCAGGAAGGTAAAAGATCCCCCAAACGTCTGTACTATCAGCGGGGGGAAATCCAATCCCCAGTGCTAAAATCCATCACGCTACCAAAAAGGACTGGCCAATGCTTTTGGCTGTGCCAAACACGCAGAGGAATGGAGCTTGGCCATGTCCCCACTGTTACAACCCAGAGCCCAAAGGCTGGCCACGCCATCGGCTGTTGGAAGAGGTGCCACACTTGGGCCTTTGGAAAGACATTTCCTTTCTTTTTTTCCCTATTCAATAGAGCATGCAACGTCTCGTCACTGATGACTTCTGCTACCCAGCGCATCTCCAAGGATCTGATCTCACGGGAACTTCAGAAAAGGCAACCACTTGGAATGAGAAACATGTTCCCTTTTGGAAAACCTCCTTCCGACTGATGTCCAAATGACACACTGTAGGCTACGGACAAAGGACATTCCTGGAAGGCTTGACTCACCTAAGCCATGTCAGGACTCGCCGTCACCAGTGACGAGGCTGCTGATGCTCCCGTTTCGTGGCAAAGCCTGGAAAACAGGCAGAAGCAGCGCCGGTTCATCCCATTTGGTCCATGTCTCTTCTTTGACCTTGCCTGCTTTTAGCGCAGATGCCATGAAAGAGGAGTGAAAAAGAAAAGGTGAGGTCAGGCAGCAAAAGAGCTCTGCAGGCTGCCATCTGCAGTCAACCAGGCACCCTGTTTTGGAAACCACACACCCACCCACACCCACAAAACAAACAAACAGACAAACAAAGAGACAAAAAACACAGCACCTGGCCTCTTTCTTGTCTTCAGGAGCTCATCCCTGTCTCGGCACGCTATCTCGTCAGAGCAGGAAGCACAGATGATCTGTATCCTGAGGACACCTGCATGGGATTAACGCATGTCCAGAAGCAGTCCCCATCTCTAAGAGCGTGTCACTTTTGGGCTTTTAATAAGCATAACTCAAGGGGATTCACTGGCATGGCTGGGAGGAAACTCATTCGCTTTTCAATGAAACCTCTCCTTGGAGGAGAAAAAAAAAATATGTTAGAGACTGAAAAAAAAATTGAGATTGAGAGCTCCCACCCACGAGGGAACTGTGAGGGCGTCAACAACAGCGAAGACCAACAGCAGCAACATTAGAGGAAATTTAGCTTTCGCCCTGATCACATCCTTAAGAGACCCTCCCAGTCTACACCTCAGGCCTATGAAGGACCGGTCCTTTCCTGGAATGACAAACTCCATTCTTTTTACTTCAAAGGCCTAAGCTGAAGGCTCCTCGGAACAACGTGGACTGAGCCAGAGAAAAACATGCCATCGCTACTTGAATTAAAAAAAAAAAAAAAAAAAAAAAAAAAAAAAATAAAAAAAAAAATAATTCATTGGGCTTTTAATAAGCATAACTCAAGGGGATTCACTGGCATGGCTGGGAGGAAACTCATTCGCTTTTCAATGAAACCTCTCCTTGGAGGAGAAAAAAAAAATATGTTAGAGACTGAAAAAAAAATTGAGATTGAGAGCTCCCACCCACGAGGGAACTGTGAGGGCGTCAACAACAGCGAAGACCAACAGCAGCAACATTAGAGGAAATTTAGCTTTCGCCCTGATCACATCCTTAAGAGACCCTCCCAGTCTACACCTCAGGCCTATGAAGGACCGGTCCTTTCCTGGAATGACAAACTCCATTCTTTTTACTTCAAAGGCCTAAGCTGAAGGCTCCTCGGAACAACGTGGACTGAGCCAGAGAAAAACATGCCATCGCTACTTGAATTAAAAAAAAAAAAAAAAAAAGAAAAAGAATAAATAAAAAAAAAAATAAATCAAGTGACACATCTGTTTCCATTGTGTTTCATCCACTACTTTTCCACTAGCATCTAGGTGCTCAAAAATCAACTGCAAGGACACCACATGCTAATAAAAATAGAGTTATGAATCCAAACTAAAAGGCTGTTGCCAAGTTACCCGTAAAATTAGTAGGAACAAACAGAAGAGAAACACTTGAGCCCAAGGAAGGTAATGGGCAGCTCTTCATTTAGTCGAGGTGAAAGTTTGCTCTTTTAGCTCAAAGGAAGCCATTCCTAACTACCGAGGGCCCGATTCAGGCAGGTGGCATGCTCCATTAACTGCAATTCTTCATTAGCTTTTCCCCACTGGCAGCAAATTGGCTTTTTCCACGGGTTGGACGTGGAGCATCTGTAGCGTCCCTCAACTCGCAAATGTTTCTCGCCGTGCCCCCAACCCCACGCCTGCAGCTCCTGAGCAGCGAGTGGAACCAGCCCCGCAGTACTTCCTTCCCGCCCCGCAGAAGGCAACCCTGGGAAAAGAAGAGGCGAGAAACGACCCTGGCTGACAGGCAGCCAACAGGGACCAGCCGGGGGACCCCCACCGGGAGTGGGGCCGGGATGGATCCTCCACACACAGGCCCGCCTGGCGCGGGTCTCACCCCCGCGGGAAGGGGCCGGGCTTCCCGCCGGCAGACGGGCACCTCCCCGCTGCTCGGAGCGCCGTGCCGGACACAGCCCTGCCTGCGCCCAGGCGCTAGAAGAGCAACCAGTTCCATATCGCTCAAACCAGGACGCCCCAGCCCAGACCCGCTCACCCGCCGTAACGCCCCCGCTCCGCCCTGCCCCTCGCGGAACCGCACCCTGGGGGCGGGCAGGCCTGACCTGCGCTCCTCCAGTCAGCCGCTCCCAGTGAGGGACCGCAGCTTCCTCGACTTCTCTTCGCCGCATCCCCCCCGCTGCGGCAGTAGCCGCTGGCAGGCTTCCGCCCGGCAGGCCGGGGCGCGGCAGGGAAGGGGCGCGCCGCTGGCCCTGCCGTTCGGGCAGCGCCGCGAACTGCCGCATGGAGCGGGGCTGAGGAAAGCTGCGGGGAATGCGCCGGGGGAGGACTCACCGCCGCTGTCGCTCGGCGGCTGCGCCGTGAGGCGCAGCCGGCGCCCGGGGAAGGCCCGTCCCCGCGCTCAGCCGCGGGACGGTGGCGCAGGCGCGGGGCGGGGGCGGTGCCCGCCCCTCAGCTATGGCGGACGAGGAGCTGGAGGCCCTGCGGCAGCAGCGTCTGGCCGAGCTACAGGCCAAGCACGGGGTAAGGTGCGGGGGCGCCCCCCCAATATCCCGCCGCCGGGCGCGGCAGGACCCTTCCCTCCGGGCTGCGTGGCGGCCGGCGTTTGGGGGATGCAGGAGCGGCGGGGAGGAGGCCTTACCCCTTGGGGAGGCCTCGCTTGAATAAAAGCTTAGGCTGGAGGCTGAGGGGGGCAGCGGAAGGCGGCCGGGCCCGGCCCGGCCCCGGCCCCGGCCCCGGCCCCGGCCCCGTGCCCTGACTTGAACCGTTGCCGACTGCGGCCTCCGCCCCCGGAGAGTGGCTGGGGCCTGCCTCCCCCTGCCCGCCCAGGGTGCCCTGGCTGCTGCCGCGGAAGGCTTGGTACGTACCCCTCCCCTCCCCGGCCTCCTTCTTTGCCGCTGGGGATCGCACGGCTTCCCATCACCGGCCGTCGCAGCCATCGGTGTTCTCGGTCTGTGTCGTCGTTCCTGCGAGGGCTCCTTCCATGCCTATAATCAGCCTCGTCTCCTCTCTCTGTGTGGCTTCCCGTTCTGCTTTCACACTTTGAAATGTTACCTATAAAATTTGAGGTGCAGACTCAACGTAAAGTTCAGTTTTTTCCCTTTATTTTTTTTTGTTACTTGCTTCTGAGTAGTCGTCTAGGCTGTCTCTATTCGTCCTAAAGTACATGCTAGGATGGTGTTTTCTTCTGTATTGATAAATAGTGTTACATGGATTTCATTTGCCCTTATCTTATTTTAATAGGTTTTAAATGCTGTTGGCTGTTTTCTGGGCTTTGGGAAAGTTTATTATCTTAGACTTAACTCAAAGGCCTTTTAACATCCAAACATACAACAGTCTCCGGATGGATCTGGTAGTGCTCGTAATTGCACTAGTTTGTATTACTGCTTTGTGAGGAAAAGCATAGTATGGCACATTTATTTACTAGGGCAGCAGATTGTTATTTTCAGGATCTCGTCTGTGGTCAGGCAGGCTTAGCAGTCAGGTTTTGCTTACATTGACTATGCTGGAATATTTAAACTTACTATCCTGTATGGAATGTTTTTGGATGATCATATTTATTCTTATCTCATTCTGTAGGATCCTTCCAGTGATCCATCGCAACAGGAAGCAAAACAGAGGTATAAATGAAAACTGTTGACTTTTGGTCTTATATCTAATTGTTTTGAACCTTTTGCTTGTTTAATTTTTGGAGTATTTAATTTCTTTGGAATACTCACCGGAATATTTTTGTTGTTGCTGGGAAAACCACCAGCAAAGAAGCTGAAATGTCAAAAATTTAATCCAAGCATAGCTAAAATCTGATTGATCCGAGTGTAATTCCCAAGGCATGACTCTCTTGGATGATGCACAACAGCTATGAGGCAGCCTGAACCCTGACTGGGGTGAGAGGGTGTGGAGGAAAACATCAGTAGCAGCTCGTTTTCACTTTGGGACTCAGCTGAGTGCAGTAATCTCATGACCCTTAGTGATGCAAGAGAATATTTTGGGGAAGCATTGTCACTCCCACTGTCATCTCCTTCTGGAACTCAGAAACCTTGCCTTTTCAGGGTTGGTCATAAGAAAATCTTGAAGGCAGGCAGAACTCTTTCCACGCTGGAGTTTTGTCTGAGTGATGAGTTTAGGTTTGGCTCTGTTAGTGCAGTGGGAACATGCTTTCCTAGTTGATTTGATTTTTCTGGGACATCTATTGCAGTTAAAAACATGCAAGAAAACGATTCATGTCAGAGGTTAGCGTGGAAACAGCATTTAGTATTTGCGCTAAATAGGAAGTTGAAAACAAGTATTTTAAGAGCTAGACTTTGCACAGTCCAAGTTTGTATTACCCGAAATGCACAAACTGAAATGCCAGTTCTGCAAATACTTAGTTGAATACTATATGAGGACCTACTGAAAAATTCTAAGTACATGAGCTTTAGTTCTGTCTTGCAATTGCATGGGCTATTCCTTATGCCTGCTCTGCCGTACAACACCTTTGGTGAAATTCCACACGGAACTGAATGCAGAGTCTTTACAGTGGGTAGCAAGGCTTTTGTCTTTAAGATGTAGTCATAAACAGTAAGGTGTAAGTAGTAAACTCTGTCTTGATTTCTTGGATTGCTTTGTTGTCAGCTATGTAACTTTGTCAGTGTACATAGAGATACTTAGGACAGAAAATGCTATTAAAGAAATCATGTAAATGTAAGGTTTGAAGTTACCTCAAGAAGTCACTTGCACAAATCCAAAGTCTTCTGTAGTTTGCTGTTTTGTGCATATTATTTTAGGAAATCCCATTTTTAACATATGGCTAATTTTTCATTACAGGGAAGCAGAGATAAGAAATACTATTTTAGCTCAAGTACTTGATCAAGCAGCTCGTGCAAGATGTAAGTATCCAGGTACCTTTCTTATAGAAAACACTCATTTCCAGTGCTGCTCAAATCAAGCACGTTATGTACTTGTATAAAGGTCAGACTAGAAAAATACTGTTGTTGATGGGAAGATATGATATCAATGATTGGGGGAGTTAACTGGCATCTGAATGATGGTAGTTAATCAATAATTTTTAATTAATAGTAGGAATTGTAGTGAGAGTCAAAATTAGTTTATCTAATTAGGAACAAATATTTAAAAATAAGGAATATAACTATCTTGTATCTTTATTTTACATAAAAGAAAAATGCCTTTTTTAATTTATTTCATGATCCTGGCATGAAGACGACAATTTCATAGGGACATTTGTCACTTCTTAGTTATGAGTGCAGATATTGAGTATGTTTTAAAACAAAATGAACAGAGCCTCTTTTTGTTGCAGTAAGTAATTTAGCACTTGTGAAACCAGACAAAGCAAAAGCAGTAGAGAACTATCTCATACAGATGGCAAGATTTGGACAGCTAGCTGGAAAGGTGAGTTTAATGTTTTTCTAATTCTTTCTTACATGTGTTCATTTTCAAACCTAATTCACTCTAGAAAAGGGGTTTTTTTAATATCTGTAAATTAAATAACTGAAAAAAGCAATTGAGAGCTTCTAAATACTACTATATAATTCCATCAAACGCCTTTTATAAGAAGGTAAAGTATGATTTGGTTGTTAGATAGTAACTGTCTCTCAGACTGTGTTTATACAGCTTTTGCTTTCCTAGGTATCAGAACAAGGTTTGATAGAAATACTTGAAAAAGTGAGTCAGCAAACAGAAAAGAAAACAACAGTAAAGGTAAGATTTATTTCCAAAATGTAATTTTAATTTGTTATCAAATAGAGCAGAAAAAATCATGGTAGAACTTGAACTTTTATTTACCACCTCTCTAACCTACACTGGTAAGTGCTGGGTTAAATCAGAGAGTCCTTATCAGTAGCACAGTTTGCAGATGCTGGCACTGGGATGTTGGCGTTTGTTGTGACCCAGGTCACCCCGTGTCTGTCCTGCACTATCATCCCAGGCAGGGATTTGGCTGGGGGGAAGGCAGGTGGAGGGGTGAATGTTCTGCTCACGTATTATATATTCATTGTCAAACGTGTGGAGTTTGAAAGGCTTGCTCTATGTTGGATTTAACTGTGTCCCTTCTATTTTCACGTCATGTATTTCATTTTAGTTCAACAGAAGGAAAGTATTGGATTCTGATGAAGAGGATGATTATTAATACCACCATAAGACTGGCTGCCAAACAAAAGGCCTGGAAAAAGGCAACATTCTGTAATCAGGCAGAATGCAAAATCTGAAAATGTTTACGCTTCTTTTTTTTTTTATATATCTATAAAAAGGCAAACAAATGAACTTGTAAAGTAAATCTGAGAAGGGGATTTTGTAACTTAAATTTTTGTAGTCTAAGAGGCTGAGCAGTGGGACTCCCCCCTGCTTTGTTAGCATGAATGTTTTGTTGCCCCTTACTCAGCGTGTAAGCTATGCTTTCAGCACCTGCACACATTTAACTTGCTGCTGCTGGAGATACCGTAATGTGAGGAGGAGCCAAGCGTGAAGCACAGAACAGCCGCTCTCTCTGGGAGTTGAGAGACTTACCTCCAGGCTGTAATCACAGAAGTGCTAAGAACGAGATTGCCTGAGCCCCTGCAGGGAGCCTGTCCAGCTGCTCACTGGCTCTCAAGTCCTTACCGGAAATCTATAAAATTAAGTGAAGGTATCAAAGTAGTGTTTGGATCACAGACCTTCATGTCAGGCAGTCTGTATAAAGAAACTAACCAGCATACAATTGAACTGTTCCCCTATGAAATTATCAAGCCATCTCAAGCAAGTTAACTGTGTAATACAGCACTGTTCAGACACTCGGTATCGTATATTCTTAAAACTACCTCCATTTTTATCAAATGGCTGGAGCGTTTCTTACCTTGAAAAAAACATTTTCCTAAACTTTCTGCAACTCCTGCATGCATAAAGTAAAACTGAACTTGTGCTATATGTTTATTCAAAATATGGTTATGGAAATACATAGGATAAATACTGTAATGTGCTGATAAACACTCTACCATCACAAAACCCTTTTCTGGCAAAACAAGAACATGTATGATCCCAACTGCAGTGTTTTTCGGAACTGAATAAAGTTGTTCAAAGTGAGCACTAGTGGGTATTTTTCATCTTGCATGAATGTGGTGCAAAATATTTAAGTAGTCATTATTTTTGTTTCGTTTGGACTAGACTGGGCATTTTGCTTGTCCACATTTGTAACTGGGATTCCTTAACTTCAGTGATTTCATGAGTGTAGCTAAATTTCTTTAGACTAATGACCCTTTTCCAGTGCAAAGCGATTCAAGCCAAGGTGTGGTGACAGGTAGTTTAAAAGTTTTCCTGTTAGGGCTACAGATATACCCTAAGCAACTATGCTTCATATTCCCATTTCCGAGTTTATCAAATTCTACATAGAACAACAGAAGCTTTATCACCTTGCTGCTCTTCTAAAAAGGCTGTTCCAGAATATCAAGGTTGTCAAAACGTGCTGTAGTGCTTTGCATTTATTTTAACTTGGAACCTTTTGCAGTTAAACTGGAGAGATCACTAACATGCTTTGCAGACAAATCACGTGTCATGAAGTGGACTTCAGTCTATTTGCATAGGGGTACTCCCTTCAAATCCTGTTCCAGTTTAGCCTTTGATGATCCTATTTTTGAACGTTAAGGTATTTTTTTAATTACGAGCTTGCTTAAGCACGGCAAAGGAAACTTGCAAACTATTTAAGTTAGCTAAATAATCTGTTAGTTGTCATCTTTCCATCATTTAAATTCCAGTGGAACTGTTTGGCATTGAGTGTTTGGATTTTTTTCCCTATTCACACCCTATATATCCCAAGTGCCTGGACATAAGCTTTCTAATGTATTAAAAAGCTAATTAACTGATTTTTCTCATCCATACTGTCAAGAAGTCTTAAGACAAGAATCATATAGTTAGATACATAGTATAATTAAAACACAAGCAAAATTTTCACTATGTAGTTTGGAAATTGGATCTATGACAGTTTACTTGTATCTTAAACTCTCTAATATGTAGGTTATTTTTGCTACAATAAGTGACTTACTCTAGGTGAAATTTATAGTGTCAAAAGAAGATAAAACTAGTTCATATCTCTTTCCTCTTGGTCTTTTGGCTTGTAATAGCTGAATGTCAATCCTACTCTTTTTTTTTTTTTTAATGCAGAGCTAGAGAAGGAAGTTACTTGAAAACAGTTTCACTAAAAAACTTACACCTCTGTGCCTTAAATCCAAAACCACACAAGCTAATAATAGACCTCCATAAATGTAGGAGAGAAGGCAGCTGTACTGAACTTGAGAGTAAATTCCAACAGATCCCTTACTTTAGACACAGACACCAGGTGAGGTCTTCAAAAACAAAAGCAAGGAAATCTGCATAAAGGACTCGATGCTTTTAAAAAAGCACTCAAAGTAAACATTTTCAAGAGTTAGTTTACTAGTTTTCTTTCCATCATTTGGCACAAATCCAAGGCACATTAGAAAATCAGATGAACTTATAAATTATTAGAAAAATAAACACGACCCTCATCACTAAATGTCCATATGTGCACTTACTGCACATTTTACCTCTTAGATTAAAAAATTATCTGAAAAAATCACCAGTGTTGTCTTCCAGCTTTACTAATACCACAGTTAAAAGAAAGAGAATTATTCATACAAACAGTTTATGAAATAAAATGCAAGCTGGATGAGCCAAGAATAAAAAATACTGCACTTATAAACCTGGCTTGTGCTGTTCACACATTCTCCTACCGTAACCCAAACAGAAGGTGCAGTCCCAATCGCAGCAGCCATCTCTCATTACTTGTGAGCTTTCAGTTCTTCAGCAATCACCTCTAGGAATAAGATAATATTTGGCCTATTCCAACATATGCTTACTGATGTGAGAAGTAATTTTCATAATGGCAATTTCACCTTCTTAAAGAGCAGTCTGGAGCAGGCTCCTAAGCAGCAGTTTTGTCCACGCATGTTGCCCAGATTTAGAATCAGGAATATTTATGCATTTTTGCATGACTTGCTTTAGAGGAAGGAAAAAAAACCACCCAAACACAACAACTTTAACCAATTTGCTCTGTATACATGTCCCTATACATTCTTGATTCTGCAAATTTTTCTGTTACTAGGCAGTGAACAGCGAGTCCAAAGTCTAGCTTTGCCAAGGGCTCTCTACTTTTTCCTAGTATCTTGGCTCCTGTGTAAGAACTTGATCTTGCAGATCCCATACAGGGGAGTGTTGCAAAGAAATTAGCAAGGATTACATCCCTTCACATTAATAGCATGTATAAATTTCTAATGTGGTGTCACAGGTGTTATGGACCATTGTTTTCCCAGCTACTGAAATATACAGAAATATATACTATAACGGCTTGTAATGTTACAATAAAAATAGAGACATTTCAGTTACCTCTAGCAATAAATACCTTGTTATCCAATATATTTTATATATATATATATAAATATAGAGATACTTATATATACTTATCCAATGTAGTGATAAAAACTGAAAATGCAAAAATTATTCAGAGACTTAACAACAAAGTAAGCATCTGAAAAATACAATACAGGGTTTGGTTTGGTTTACTGTTACATATATTTTTTTAATAAGTGCTAAATAGAATAGGAAAGCAATTTTGCTGTCTGTGTCTCAGTCCGTCCCTGTTTGTTGAGATCAGTCATGATCTGGCTGTGTAGTTCCCTCCAATATAAACAGAGGATTCAGTCTTCGAAAGTGCTAGGAACAGTCTGTTTCTCCTGAAGAGAGTCATCCTCACATGCTGTTCTGATTGCAGAGCATCACTGAATTCTTTGATACACAGTGAAGTGTTACTGAAATTAACACCACCTAGTTCCTCAGCTTTTGACATCAAATTCGCACTCCCTTATCAATGTTTTGAAAGCAAGTCATCACAGCAGTCTCTTGATTGTGTAATACTTGGATTTCTAGGGCTGGTTAAACTATTATCGCTGACATTTTCTGCTGAAAGTGTCACATTAACAGTGTGTCTTCGGTGCATTAATTTACTCCTGTGAGGAACTTCTATCATGTCATCATGTTTCACAAACTCACCACTGCATCCTGTGTCAATAATCTTAACTGTGCTCTGGTCCAGTGTTTCAACGGATTTTAACTTGGTTTTATCAAAGCTTTTAATAGCTAACTGAAAAAAAGAGATAGAAAAATGGTACGTTAAAAGCACTGTCTACTTTCTTCATTATAAAGTAGTAGTATGAATATTGTGTTGCTTGAATATAATTATCACATTTATTTCATGGTATTCTTCATACTGAGAACACAGCCAAGGATTAAAAATAGCATACTTTGTAGGACAGTAATTACAGAATCATAGAATCATTCAGGTTGGAAAAGATCCTTGGGATCGAGTCCAACCATCAACCCTACTCTACAAAGTTCTCCCCTACACCATATCCCCCAACACCACATCTAAATGACTCTTAAACACATCCAGGGATGGTGACTCAACCACCTCCCTGGGCAGCCTATTCCAGTGTCTGACCACAGCAGCTTTCCAGTCATACTTCCCCAAGCCTGTACCGATGCAGGGGGTTGGTGTGGAAGGACCTGGCACTTGGCCTTGTTGAAGTTCATTCCATCTGCAAATGAGAAAATAAGAGCCCCAGCCTACACACAAATCAGTGACTGAAAGGATAATGAAGGCATTCCAAACCTTATTTTCACTGCAGTATCTCATCGTAACTCTTCTAATCAACTTTTGTAATGCAAGTCTCAAGGTACTTGAAATTAACAGCCATCTCTTTCACCATTAAGAAATGAGTAAGTGGTAATAGAGATGGGCTCCACCAGGCACTGCTGAAGGCAAAAACTCCCCATCTCAGATCTCATCTGTCAGGGGGGAGACAGCCACCATCCCCACTGACCTTAAAGGCTCTTTTTGATCATTCCAACTATTCTTCTCTACCATTTCCATATCTGCTCCTGATTGATTCCTCCTTGTCAGAGTGAGTGGATCTCTTTGATTATTGGCCACTCTGCAAATGTTAAAATAACTAAGACAAAAAGGACGGTCCAAACATGCTAGTGACAGTTTTTCTAAGAACTGAAGAAAGAAATTAATTATAACAGAATCACTGCATGATATGGCGTTGGAAGGGACCTCTGGAGATCATCTAGTCCAACCCCCTGCCAGAGCAGGGCCACCCAGAGCAGATTGCACAGGAACATGTCCAGGAGGGTTTGAATGTCTCCAGAGACAGAGACTCCACCACCTCCCCGGGCAGCTTGTTCAGGGCTCTGCCCCCTCAAAGTGAAGAAGTTCCTCCTCAGTTATGATACCCTTTTACTGAAATAATGGCAAGAATCTTGTAAAAGTTTCAGATGGAGATTGTACATGTTTAAACCCACTAACAATTCAGAGCTGTATGACTTGCAAATTCACCAAGTCCCGACGGTCACACATGGTTAAAGTGCTATGTATCAGGGTCACAGTAGTTTTTTGACACCTGCTGTGCTTGTGTGACATACTGCCCTCAGCGATCCACCATTATAAAATTTAAATCCCACAGTTTATAGCGTTAGTTTGGCATTCTCAAGGCTCTTTGCAAATGTTTAATCTCATCCGGGCTCTACGAATTAGAGCAGCATTCCATTTTCTAGATGGAGATGAGCGGCAGAGTCTGCAATTCCTAGGCCATGTCAATCTAATAACAGGCAGCTACTGAACTAACCTGATAGAAATCCATTTTCGTTTGAATAGGTCAGTTTTTCTCTTGATCTGGTGTGCTGAAATGGCGCAGCAGAAGGCCCAGTGAGAGGCAAAGGCAGTATAAAGGAGGAAGAGGAAGCACACATGCTCTGGAGGGAGGGCAGCATCCAGCAGTCAGAGCGCTGTAGGATGCCACAGCGCCCCCAGCCGTACATTAATTGATTACACGCATTTCTGTCACAGCTGACAGCACAACGTGCAGTTTGCTAACGCCCTTGCAAACAATCTCGTCCTACAAGCAGACATCGTGCAAACCCCAATTTTAATCTACTGAAAACTTTTTCTCTTGTAAATAGCATCTCTGCTTGGCTACAGCTCCAGTAAGCTGAGGAGTTTACCAACCCTTGGT